CAGCGCGATGTTTTTGTCGCGCTGTGATGACGTCAAATGCGCGCTTTTGTCGAGCGTGATTTTGTCCTCCGCGGTTTTGACGGGTCACGCTGGGTCACGTGATAGCCCTGTGTGGCCTTCCAACAAGCAAAGTTAATACAGTAAACTAAGTTTGCTAAATAACCATGGGATTAACCCTGCCAAAGAAGGTCATGAAATCAGGTACAAGTCACTTGGTAACCCCCATTGTTTAGCGATGGATGTTCTGATCCAGACTGTGGTCATAAGTCAAGAACTACTTGCACACACATTTCTGTTTTTTTGCTAATGCTATTTTGTAGCAATAATCTTTGCATCAGTGGTTGGTTGCAGGCGGTATGCCCCGGTCCTTACCTGCCCTTTAAAGCCTTTGGTGCTTCCGCGCACGCGGATGGTGCATATAACGCCTGCGCGATGCTCCGACGAGCAGCTGGAGTGTCGCGGAGGTTTGCAGAAGCATCACTGGCAGCTACAACGCATGCGCATATGCGCACGCGTCCATTTGGGCGACACTGGGCCCGTTCCACCGTACCGGTTGGAACGGGATCTGGAACCCACCACTGCTTTGCATCCTGGTTCATAATGCTGCCAAGCAACTTATATGATGATGATGAACTCATCACCCTGCAAGGAGAGATTCCTGCATGTCCATTGGCCTTTGATGTGGAGACAGCAAGCTAGCAACCTTCCCCCAGCGCCCCCTGCCACCCCCAAAAACAATCTGTCTTGAGGGTAAAGGTTTGTTCTCCAAGGTTGTGGGTTGGTTTCCAAATGTTTTGTTACCAGGCTAAGTAACATCTTCAGCAGATGTCAGAGTCAGTGTTTTGTTTATTTTCTGACCCAGCTCCCCAAAGACAGCAAACCCTCTGACATGAATTTAAAAGATTCCTTTATTAGGAATGCCAGCAGCCCCAGCGAAAAGTTTCTCTCTCACCGCAGGCTAACAAGTCTGTCTGGCAGGGAGATGAGTAGTTGTCTGCCACATCTATTCATCTCCGCCCCCTGCCTTTTATCCTCAGAACTAGGGTGAAGCCTTACTAGCAGTGGTGGCTCTTCCGTCCCAAGGACCAGCCCATGGATTTTCATTGTTCTCCTCTCCTGTGCCTTCTGCTCATCCACGTCAGGCACTGGACCCAGCTGTTCCTCCTCTTCCTCATCAGCCACCTCCACACCTGGGGCTGTTGACTCTCCACCTGAGGGCTGACAGAAGGTCTAGGCTCCCTCTGTCCCCCACCCTCTCTCTCCCACCCCCTCTCTCCGCTCCCTGCTTTTTATCTCCAGAGCTAGGGTGGGGCTTTGCTAGCAGCAGTGGCTCTTCCATCTGAAGGACTGGCCTATGAATTTCCATTGCTCTCCTCTCCTCTGCCTTCTGTGCATCTGCGCATTGGGCGCTGGACCCAGCTGTTCCTCTTCTTCCTCATCAGCCCCAAGTTTTTTTAAAATTAGTTTTGCTGCTATACTGGTGTCAGAAAGATAAAGCTCGTAGATTTCCACCTGTTGTCTGAAAACATTTTGCAGGTGTCATGATGCTCACCAGCTACTTTTGAAAAGTTGTTTTTGTTTTGGAATGGAAAAGTATTAATCTGCTCAGCAGCAGGAAGTCTGGTTGCTATGGCAACATGGAATATCAGTATGGTCATTCAAAGGGGAGATCATGACGTGCTCAGGGTCTTGTCCACCCTGCAAACACAAAGAACCCATCATTGGCTTCTCAAATTGCACCGGGGATTTTTTTTTCTTTACAGAGAAGCATTTTGTCCAGCATTTTGTTTAAGATGTTCTGTAAAAATGCACACGAGGGAAAGTATATTAGTGGTGCCTATCATTTCTTTTGTTCTGAACCTTAAAAGTATTTTCCAAATTGTTTAAAAATATTAAAATAAGTCAACTTAAAAACACATGGAGAAAGAGGAAGACAAATTAAAATGGGATTTTTTCAAAAAAAAAATTGGTTCAAAAAATGGTATTATGCACTGCATAGCCTTGATATAGGTGTTACAGTGGAAATGGTATTTCCTTGTAATTTGATCTCACCAATATAGTTCTGCATTTTTTGAGGACCAATATTACTTTTTTATAGGGACACAGTGGCTCAGGGGCTAAGACACTGAGCTTGTCTGTCAGAAAGGTGGGCAATTCTGGGGTTCGAATCCCTAGCGCCACGTAATGGAGTGAGCTCCCGTTACTTGTTCCAGCTTCTGCCAACCTAGCAGTTTGAAAGCACGTAAAAAATGCAAGTAGAACAATAGGGAACAGCGTTCTGTGCGCCTTCGGTGTTGAGTAATCCCAGCCACATGGCCATGGAGACGTCTTCGGACAGCGCTGGCTCTTCGGCTTTGAAATGGAGAAGCGCACCGCCCCCTAGAGTCGGGAACGACTAGCACACATGTGTGGGGGATCCTTTACCTTTACCTTATTACTCTTTTAGAAAAAGAAAACAACTTTTTAAAATACTAGATACAGCCCATGCCATGCCAGAAGTTCACATAATTTCACTCAGCATGGATTGTATCTAAATTAATAATTTAAAAAGTTGTTTTCTTTTTAAACAAAATATAAAATTGTATTCAAAAAAATCTGGTTTGGGTTTTGTTTTATTTTGTTAGGTGTTCTGACAACCTAACACTAAACCTCCAAAGGCAACCCAAAACAGGATATAGAATTTTTTTGCTCTGGACAACCTACTTGAATCACTGATGAAATTCCCTCATGGACAGGGGTGGGAGTCAGCCGGTTAGGACTGGTTTGAGCGAACCGGGTGCTAATTTTACATCTGGTTCACCGAGCCAGTAGTTTCAAGGACAGGCTGGCCCACCCCTCTCAGGACTCTCCACACCGCCTGTTTTGCGTGCCAGGTAAGTGCAGGGCCCACACGGAGGCTCTGGACAGGTGAAAAACATGCCTCCTGGAAATCTGGAAACAGGCCCGTTTCTGGAGCCCAGGGGAGGCTATTTTCGCCCTCCCGGAGGCTCAAGAAAAGCCTCAGGAGCCTGGGGAGGGTGAAAATACCCCCTCCACCTGCTGTGGTGCAGGAAGCTGAGTAGGCCATGCCCACCATGGCCACACCCACCCAGCAACTGGGCAGAGAACCGGTTGCTGAAATTTTTGAATCCTCCCCCCTGCTCATGGAGCAAGGTGTTCCCAACTGCTTGTGGACTTGGGAGTCTACATTCACACATAGATAGCTTTAAAAAAAAACAAGTCTAAAGATCACACACTTCAGATATATTTAAATGTAAGTTCCTTTAAAATTCAACAACCATATATGACTTTTGAACTCAGCAGCCAAGAATTTCCCACTGCAAAACTCAATACTATCTTGGAAAGCTTTCTGGACAAGGCATTGCAGCATTACAGTGGTGGGCAAATAAACAAGGAAGGTTTCGACTGATGGAAACAAGATTGGAGTGATAACTCTGTGTACTAATGATCTCTTCCCCTTTCCTCCATGTTGTCTTCTTTTCTCATTCACATGCATGCGTGCCCATAAACACCCTTCCTGACCCACAGTCATATACTCTCCCTCTCCTTTCTTAATGCACAGACACAAACAGAGCTTGTGTACAAATGAGCTAGCAATCACCAGGTGGATTCTTTTGAGTCGATGGAACTGCATGGTTTGTATCTGCCTTTCCTATCCTGCCACCCTCTGGATACATTGGGATATTTCTTTTTTCCAAATTTCTCATTTAGGTTGGCTAATTGGGACGATAAAATCTCAGCTCGTTTGGAAGACATCGAGCTGAAGAAGGCCGATACTTACTATGTTTATGAAAAAGCAGCAGGGAAGAAATGTTCTAAATGTACCAGATTTGATTTTAATTCTTCTATGGCCAATTTATTTTGTTTCCTATCTATAGTTCCTCCAAAAGTTTGACTTTGCTCAAAAATAATATAGATTAGATTTAGAATTCTCATTTCTACTCTGCAATTATAAGCGGAATGCAGGTTTTTTTAATATATAAAGGAACTTGATTTTACATTTCATTTCCACTGGGAAACCATAGAGGACTAGGAGGAAAGGATTATGTTAGTGGTGGTTGGCAGATATTGTTAGAAGAATATGCTGAAGGTTGTCCCAAAGTTGCTTTTTTCAAGAGGCAACCGGATTTTCTGGTTTTTCTTTGAAGACGTTTCGTTTCAGCTCTGCTGAAGAAGCTTCTTGGATGAGAAACGAAACGTCTTCAAAGAAAAACCAGAAAATCCAGTTGCCTCTTGAAAAAAGCAACTTTGGGACAACCGTGACCTGGATGACCGAGAATCTCCATAGATAGGCTGAAAGTTATATCAGCATTACTGCCCAATCAGTTCTTCTGTTCAGAATTTTGGGTTTTCGGGAACTTAGTATTTCAGCAAGTAGATTGTTGGTTTTGAAGAAATGCAAGAAAGTGCTCTCAGGCATCATGATTCTCTGCTGGGCCAGGCATCTGGACATTTCATTTAATTATATTTTGAATTTTAAGGAAGGAAGGAAGTTGACAGAAGGAAAGGAGGAAGGGAAAGAAAGAAAGAGAAAGAAAGAAAGAAAGAAAGAAAGAAAGAAAGAAAGAAAGAAAGAAAGAAAGAAAGAAAGAATGAAAGAAAGAAAGAAGAAAGAAAAGTTTTGGAGAAACAGGGAGTTAAGATAACTCAGACTGTTGACTGTAAGTTATTGTTAGGTGTGAAAAGTTGTGTTAGAACAAAAGACAAATCCCTTCTGTATTGTGAGGGCCTTCCCTAATGGTCCCCAGAAATTAATACAAAATTGATTGCAAGAAAACGTGGGACATTCTAGTATTAATTTAATGGAGAGAATTCTTAACCTGACGACAGTCTAAGGTAAGATGGTTTTTGGATGCCACATGGGAAGAACATTTCCGATTTCATTTCTACTGTATTTATCAGATCTTGTTATCTTCCTGATGTTACAACCAGCCAATCCCCCCTTTCCAATATGTTAAAATAAACCTTTCCCTCTTAAAGTGCAAGAAAATCCATGAATCTTACCAAACTGATATTTCTCCAAAGTAAATAATACACGGTTATGTCAGTGATTCATACAACAAAAGGGATAAATGAGCTGCAGGTAATAAGATCCACTGGCAAAACTTGCCTAAGTAATATTTTAACATTTTTATAGCTCAGCCAACAGACAGCATGTTATTTTTTTTAAAGTTTCTAGTCCCTAGTGTGGATCTTAACTACCAATTTCACAGCTAACTTTAATATTTGGGGCGGGGGTGGGGGAAGACAAAAGTAGAGATAGCCTCATAGGTGCTTTTCTTTAATTGAAGATTTAAAAAGGAGCACAGGTAAAATTCAATTTCAGACCTAGTACAGGTAGTCCTCAATTTACAACGGGTTGCTTAGTGACCGAAGATACAACGGCACTGAAAAAAGTGACTTAGGACCATTTTTCACACAACGGTTACAGCATCCCCATGTTCACAGGATTTACATTTGGATGGTTGACCACGGATTCACATTTATGACGGTTGCAGTGTTCCGGGGGGGGGGGTGTCATGTGATTCCCCTTCTGTAACCTTCTGACAAGCACAGATCCACTTAACAACCCTGTGGCTAATTTAACAACTGCAGTGATTCGCCCAAATCGTAAAATGGGGTAAGACTCACTTAACACATTTCTCACTTAACAACATCAATGGTCGTACGTTGAGGACTACCTGTATTTAACTTTCGCTCTTTTGTACTCGGGCTTGGACGCTACCTCCTTCAGTGTGATGGCCTCTTAGAGATAGAAAAAAATATTTTTTTTTCTTTCACCTTTTCTTTTCCTTCATCGCATCACCTTTTCCTTTTCCTTACTTATAAAAAGCACCAGTGAAAATATGCATAATAGGTTATCCATTTGGTTTATTTTATTTCCTTTTTTCTCCTTATGGAATCATGGGTAGTTTCATTGCAACTCATTTTATTTCTGTTTGTTTTGTATAGGGCTGGTAGTGCAGGATCATTCAGAGCCCCTGTTCAGTTCATATGCCAATAAATCTCACTATCTGCTGAATGAATCAAATCGTGCTGAGTTGATGAAATTACCTATGATTCCTCCTTCTTCGTCAGCTTCCAAAAAGAAATGTGAGAAAGGTAACCAAAATAGCTTCTCTCTCTCTCTCTCTCTCTCTCTCTTTCTCTCTCTCTTGCGTGCTTTTAATTTTCTTTCAACCTTTCCTGCTTTCCCTTTCTTTTCGTTTGCTTTCTTTTTATTTTTTCCTTTTAAACTAAAACCAAAGCTTTGTATGCTCATCTGGCACTTCCTCGTTGCACTTTGTAAACCTCACTCATTGCTTATTTTGAACGTGTATTCATGTTGGCCGAAATCTTCTAAAGGGGCTTAAAATAATTACCAAATCCCACTCAAGCATAGACTTGTGCATGATTAGCCAATCCAGCAGACTTTCCTAAATCCTGAGGCAAAATTGTGGAACCTGGAGGGATACTATAAGGGTCTATAGACCCTTAGATCAATCATGTCTATTAACCACACTAAAGGAGTTATTGTCCATTTTGGGTCTTATTCAGATTCCTTTACAGCTTAAGAGTAGACTGCCTGGAACTTCCAGATGTGTGAGCCGGTGACCCCAGACTAATTGCCCAGCCTTGGCATGCCAGTTTATAGCTAGCTGTTGACTGAATAGCTTTCTCATTTATCGGTGGGCTTCCATTGCAGAAGGAAGATTGACCTTAGGTCAGTATGTAACATATTCTGCCTCTTCTAGGCATAAAAGCAGGGGTGAAATGCTCTGAAGTCTGCTACCAGTTCGCTTCATGCGCGCAGGCACGCTGTTCACCCGAACCAGTAGTAAAAAAATGTTACCCATTCGGGCAAACCGGTAGTTACAAAGATCAGCTGTGCAACCATCAGCTGTGCTGCACGATTTCTAATCGCACAACACAGCTGATTGTTGCACAGCTGATCGTTGGAGCTACTAGTTCTCCCAAACCGGTAGCATTTTTTACTACCAGCTTGGGCGAACCTGTCCGAACCGGTAGCATTTCACCCCTGCATAAAAGGCCTTTAAACGCATTATTGTAGGGGTCTCTCAACTTGGTCACTTTAAGACTTCTTGGTGACTGGAGAATTCTGGAAGGTGATATCCACAAGTCTTAAAGTTTGGCCATGTTTTGAGACCCCTGCTTTATTGTAATTTAAGTAGCTGGATTGTTTTTGGCTGGTAGTTATAGCCTCCTACATTTTCATCTAATGGAATAACATAGACATAAACTATTTCCCCTCTTCCATCATTCCCTGGAAGTGTACTTCCTACAGGGGTATTCCTAAACCGCTTATTTATGTGGCTTATTTTTGTTTATCTGTCCCTCAGCTACCAAAGGCTCTGAGCATCTTAGAACAGACAGAATAATATAGAGTTAAAGTCAATGAGAACAAACCAGCAAAATAATCACATAGAGCTGAGTAGCTGCACCACCAGCCAGCAATAGAATAACTCCTGAAGAGCCGTGTTTTTATTTGCAATTCTTTGGGAGCCTTTAGGTAATGCTTCAAGTATCGAGCGATAGCTACTAATGGGAAGAAGGCTTAAATTAATGTGGTCCCATAGTATCATTGGCTAATACTATAGAATTGTGTGTGTGAGGGATTGACTGTTATGTATTGCAAGTTTTCATATTACCATATTTTTTGGAGTATAAGACACACTTTGCCGCCCCCTAAAAGAAGGTGAAAATTTGGGTGCATCTTATACATTGAATGTAGCCCTGCCCACCCGCCAGCCCCCATCCTTCGGCCATTTTCAGCCACTGCGCGTTGAATTTAGACCTGTTCCAGGTTGCAGAGACTGCCACAGACCATCACCACCTCCATGCCTGGAACAGCTGATTGGGGGTGTTCTGGGAGGCCTACCCACCCGCCAATCAGCTGCTCGTGCTGAATCAGGCTGTAATAATGTGCTGAAGCTGACCTGACTGTTTGCTATTTGCTGCAAGGACGCTAGCCAGATGAATACCGATGGATGCTGGTAGGCAGAGGCAGAATATATTTTTTTCTTGTTTTCCTCCCCAAAAACTAAGGTGCGGCTTATACTCTGAAAAATACGGTAATCTGTAGAGATACACAATTGGAAAGGGGATGCCGGATATTTCAGGTTTTTACCCAAAGTAACAAGCTACCCGATTCTGGCCAGGATTTCTTTTTCATAACATGACCACACACAATAGGATATAGCATAGTTTTGGAACTGTTTGGACAAGTTCTATGTATGTAAAACCTATGGATAGTGGGAGTGTGTGCTTCTTGTATCCATTTGACCTATTTGTCTTCCCTTCTACTTCATGCATGCAGATAGCATACATAATATGACATCCCCTGTGAAAATGGGTAGTGGCCCTGCTCCTGCAGCTCCATATTGACAGCCTACACTGGGAGCCTTGACCCAATCGAAGGGTTTTTTACGGTCTGCCAAGTTTGGGAAGATTTTATTGACTTTTGAATGTTTTATAAAGCATGTGACTCACCATGCTGGCATATTTTGAAGAATGTCTCTCTCTCTCTCTCTCAGCAAGAGGCAAGAGACGATCAATTATTTTGAGCCCTCTTTCATAGGTGCAGAAAATCTTACTAATGCATTGTCAAAGCCACCAAGTTTCCTTGCTTAGCATTGAAAAAAATCTGTGTGGTTTTATTTGTTTTGCTTGATTTTCATATCTTTTGGCATTCTGCTGTTTGGGTATCGTTTGGATGACTGGGGCTGTATTTCCTCTGAAATAACTTGCATACTTTTAAAATTGATTTTGGGATTTTTTTGGAATGACCCTTGCAATCCGAACATTTCGACTCAGTCGCATTTCATGGCAGAGGAAATATAGCAACAATGTTGTTGTTTTAAGTAACCTATAAAGCTTTGTAACAATCAGTGCAAATTACAGATTTTGAAGTCTATAGGTGGACAAAATTTTCTGACCGATTTGTAGAAAATAATCTACATTTCTCTGATTCGTTAAAAAAAAGTTTAAATGCTGCCTTCTAAATTATTGCGAGGATTCCCTTCAAGTGTAAATCCTCTACATTTTTAGATTTAATGACATCAAAGACTGAAAGAAAATCAATAGATAGCCTAAGAAACTATTTCTTAGTTTTCAGCCTTTTAACAAGTGAAATTCTCTTCTTGCTTCAAAAGTTTTTTGAACTTAGCACAGAAGTAAAATACCTAAAATACTTAAATGTACAAATTGATGCAGATGCACCAGTATTGTATATGCCAGGAAGGAAATACATAACCTCATAGTTTAAAAGATTGGTGATGCTTTTATCAGCTGAGACTATATATATAATATTATAATGCTTCATTTTGAAGGGACAAGAATGATTTGGAATTCTAAAAATTTTGGATTTGTTTTGCTAATACGCTATTTTTTTTAAAAACAGAACAATATTGATCAACCTATAGGCTGATTTTACATGCACTAACTGATTGCTAAGGGATCAGGTCATGACAATGCAGATTTAAAACAAAATGTAGGTCTAGACTATTGGGGATAATTAACTCCCTGAACAGTTTGTCATATTTAAAATACCAGCGTTTGGAAAAGACACACCCGTCTAACTGTATTACCCAAATTGACAAAACAGAATGAGATCTATCCATTTAAGTTCTCCATCTAGCAAGTTGGTCTGATTGATTTTTAATACCAACAAAACAAGTGCTTTAAATCCTGGCATTGTAATTCTGACCTGATCCTTTCATATTTTACCATTCATATTGGATGACATGGCAAACCCCAATGCCTAATGCATTTTTTTAAAAGAAAAAAAATCAGAGATGTGTGCACCACTTGTTTCCTTTAACTATAAAGTGAGCTCTGTTGTTGCCTTAAAGGTGGGAAGCTGTTGTGCTGTGAATCTTGTCCCGCATCCTTCCACCCGGAATGTCTTAACATAGAGATGCCAGGCGGCTCCTGGAACTGCAACGATTGCAAATCCGGCAAGAAGTTGCGATACAAGCAGATTGTTTGGGTCAAGCTTGGAAATTACAGGTACCTTAAAGCCAATGAACAATAATTATTTTCATCGTCATACCAGTGGTGGGATTCAAATTTTTACTACTGGTTCTGTGGATGTGGTGTGGCTTGGTGGGCGTGGCAGGGGAAGGATACTGTAAAATCTCCATTTCCTGTTGTGGTCCACTGGCAGCTGGCAGAGCTGGCAGCAGAGTCAGACAGTGAGGAGGTTGGGGAGGAGCATGGGATAGGAGTCTGGGGAAGGCTCAGACAAGGCTCTGCATCGGAGACAGAGAGGGAGGCCAGGGCTATCTGGGAGTTGTGTGCTGCCTCTGGAGCCTCCGGTGTTGGACATCAGCGAGGCAGAGGAACAGGGGGAGTCTATTCCCAGTGCACGCATGCGCAGAGCTGCCAGAAGGCAAGAACAGTTAAGACAAAAGGGGCGATTCGAGAGTAAGGCTTGGAGATGATTGGCCCCTCCCATAAGACATAAAGGAGGAGCAAAGGCACACGAGCCTTTGCAGGAAGCAACTTTGTTTGTTCTGGTCGGTTTAAATTCTGAAGCTCTGTTTTGACTCTGCTCCGTATGGCCTTGCAAAGCTAATTGGCAATTAGGTCTTTGCCAGCATTTCAAGGGAGATAAATGTGGGTGTTTATCAGCCTTATCATGAAGGATGGTGACAGACTTCTGTCGGACTCTCTACAAACTATTTGGGGCTCATTACGGGCTGTGAATGAACATAATTCACAGCCTTTGAAATAAAAAGGGGGTTTGGGGGACTAAGTGTGTGCTTTTTACTGTCTCAGGAAGCCTAGGTCAGAACATTGCCTCCCATTCAGCTGGAACTCGGGAGGCAGACAATAGATACGGGCGGGGCCAGTCACAGGTGGTATTTACCGGTTCTCTAAACCAGTGGTATTGGTATTGGTATTTATTCGATTTGTAGGCCGCCCTATTCCCCAAAGGGACTCAGGGGGGCTGAACAAAAATCAAGGGAAGGGGAACAAATACAAAAAGTAAGACAAACAGGACAGTGATACAACAATTTAAAAACACAGCAAGCACAACAAGTTCGAGTGGGGGGGGGGGACTCAACCCCAGGCTTGCTGGGACAGCCAGGTCTTAACGGCTGTCCAGAAGGCCTGAAGGGTGGCGAGGTCCGAATCTCCACGGGGAGCTTGTTCCAAAAGGCCGGAGCAGCCACAGAGAAGGCTCTCCTCCGGGTGGTCGACAGCCGGCATTGGCCGGCAGATGGAATTCGGAGGAGGCCTAATCTGTGGGATCTAATGGGTCTGTGGGAGGCAATTGGCAGGAGGCGGTCTCTCAAGTACTCCCAGAGTTGAAGTCCACAAGCCTTAAAGTTGCCAAGGTTGGAGACCACTGCTCTAAACTACTCAAAATTTCCGCTACCGGTGATCCAGAACTGGTCAGAACCTGCAGAATATCACCTGTGCATCATACGGGTGTTACAAAGTATAGTGACCCCAGATCCTTGATTTCAGAGACCTTGCCATTAGACTTATTTATTTATTTTTCAGAGGCTCACTTCTGACCTTAATTTTGATCATTTAACTTTTATCACATGAACCACGAACATACAGCCTTTGAGGTTGACGTAAAAAAGGCGTCTTGTGGGTCGGTTTGCTTCTTTTAACTTATTAGTAAAGTTGAGCAATACTCTTTTGTTCGCTTATTTTAGGTCCAATCATTTGAATGAGGATGTCAGTAGAGCTAACTTGACACAGAGTTTCATATATTCAACCTCATAACTGATGGGGGAATAATGGTGTAAGACTGTATTCATCATGATTTAACAGCCCCCATAATCGCTTGCAGGGTGGAGTCTGGGTAACTGAATGCAGCTGAGTGTTTACTGGCCGGATGCCATTCCTGTCGTCAATGCGGAGCTTTGCTCAGCAGATATATTCTCATTGTGCCCAAAGAAAGAAATATGTGCCTCTACCTAGGATTGAATTCACAGCCTCCTGATTGTGAGGTGGCAGCTCCACCTCTAGTCCATCGTACCGCTCTGCTGTATAAGACTGTATTGAAGTAAACTAATGCAGCGGTCACCAACCAGTGGTCCGTGGATCACTGGTGGTCCGTGAGAAAATTTTGGTGATCCGCAGAAAAATTATTTGCATGTTTTATATTGCACTAAATCAGGGGTCCTCAAACTACGGCCCCTGGGGCAGATACGTGCAATGAACGCTTGTGTTGCTGCAGAGAGTCTCCCTCTTCGGGGTCTATTTGTGCAGGTTGGAGTGGGGCAGAAATTCCGAGTTGGGGTCTGCTTCAGTCTCCTGGGGCTTTGGGCAAAGGCTGGAGGGAAGAGCCAGAGGGCCTCGTTCCAGTGGGACTTCATCGTGGCCTGGAACTGGCTGACCATCTCAGCTGGCTGAGCCTCAGGTGCCAATACCTGGCCTTGCACTCCCGCAGGTCTTCCCTCTGCTTGGAAAGCCTATGCTCATAGTCCTCAGTGAGGTGATTCAGCGGAGCCGCCTTCTCAGCCAGATCCAATTTGAACTGAGCTCTTTTGCCAACCCTTTCTCCTGGTGGCTGCTTAGCTCCAACAACTGCTTCCTGTTGGGGCCCTAAGGAGCCTGGGCAGGCGAGGAGTGGCGAGTATAGGCTGGCGAGGCACCCCTTGACATGAGTGACATTGAGTTGGCCATGCCCACCCAGTCACATGACCACCTAGCCACGCCTACCCAGCCGATCATCTGCCTAATGATTTAAAATTATGAATTTAGTGGTCCCTCAGGTCCGAAAGGTTGGGGACCCCAGAACTAATCTAAGGGAGTTGGCTTGACAACTGAAATCTAAGCTAACTGCTTACTTCTCCAATTGTTCTCTCCTCCTGCCCTTACATCTACCCATCCCTCTTTCTCCTAGGTGGTGGCCAGCTGAGATATGCAATCCCAGATCTGTTCCTCTCAACATCCAGGGCCTCAAACATGATGTTGGGGACTTCCCGGTATTTTTCTTTGGTTCACATGATTACTACTGGGTGCATCAGGGGAGAGTCTTCCTCTACGTTGAAGGAGATAAAAGCTTTGCTGAAGGGCAGACTAATATTAACAAGACTTTCAAAAAAGGTAAATTGAAATTATTTCTACCGGCTAAGGCTCCACGTTTTGGGATCTCCATTGTCCCTGAATAGGGAAATGGTGCCTTGAAATTAAGACGTTTTAGTTAATTAAACTCCATTTAATTCCATGTATGGAATTAATGTATAGGACGCGATACCTCAGTGGCTAAGACACTGACTTGTTGATCAAAAAGGTCAGCAGTTCAGCGGTTTGAATCCCTAGCACTGCTAACGGAGTGAGCTCCCGTTACTTGTCCCAGCTTCTGCCAACCTAGCAGTTCGAAAGTATGTAAAAATGCAAGTAGAAAAATAGGAACCACCTTTGGTGGGAAGGTAATAGCGTTCTGTGCACCTTCGGCACTTAGTCATGCTGGCCAAATAACCCCAGAGACGTCTTCGGACAGTGCTGGCTCTTCGGCTTTGAAACGGAGATGAGCACCTCCCCCTAGAGTCAGGAACAACTAGTACAAATGTGCGAGGGGAACCTTTATCTTTACCTTTAATTCCATGTAAAATGCTTCTATTCTGCACATCGGAACTGTACATAATATCATTTCTGCAAGGATTTTCTATTTCATTTGAAAGAAACAAAATGATTATTCAAGCATTGGTTTAAAGAATAAAGGTTGTTGATTTTTTTTAAAGGCCCCACCGAGGAAAATGTGTGTGATAGATATAATTTGTAGAAATGCCATTCATCCTTCTTTTATCTCCATGCTGTTTTATGTGAAAGACAAATATCCTTTCCTTTTAAAACAAGCTTATGAGCACAGTGTTATGTCGGATTATTGAATTTAATTAAAACCTAAATCTGATATAAGATTAAGAACAAATACTATACATTTTCCACTGAGGAACATTTAGTCTGTGGCAAACTAACAGAAGAAGAGTCTCGGGATCTCTTATAGGCCCAGAAATTTTTGAGGAGAAATTTTAATGCCTTATAAATGAATAATCCACCTCTCAAAAGATAATGTGGGAAATCAAGATGACAAGGCTTAAATTTTGTAGTGGAATGTATGAATGACCTTGGGGAAAGAAAGGAGGAGATGCTGCCCAAGAAACAAGACAAGGAAGGCAGGAGCCTGCAGTCACTTAATGAGCAGAGGAAAAAAATTAGGAAAGGCCCACACTAATGAATCAAGTAATTAAAAGTGGAACAGGAAGTTTGTGCCTTCAGACTGACAGGATTTTGCCAATGTAGCCTCCCAATAACGCTGATGATGTTACTCAGTTTGGGTAATGAAACGTCTGCAAGAAAACAACCACACTCAGAGAACACCAAGGACCCACCTCAGTCTTACAACAAAATAGAATTAATAGAATAGAATATAGAGAGTAGAATAGTTGGAAGGGACCTTGGAACCCTACACCACTTCAGACAAATGGTTTTCCAATCTCTTCTTAAAAACTTCCAGTGTTGGAGCATTCACAACTTCTGGAGGCAACTTCTGTTCCACTGATTAATTGTTCTCACTGTCAGGAAAGTTCTTAGTTCTAAGTTGCTTTTCTCCTTGATTAGTTTCCACCCATTGCTTCTTGCCTGCCCTCAGGTGCTTTGGAGATTAGTTACTTTGGAATTAGTTCATCATCATCATATGTACATGTATGTATGTATGTATGTGAATTAGTTCATCTTGTGCTTCCTACCTGGTGTACCTGGAAGGAATAACATCAAATGAAAAGAAGGACTAGGGGAGACATGATAGCAGTGTTCCAATATCTCAGGGGTTGCCCCAAAGAAGAGGGAGTCAAGCTATTCTCCAAGGCACCTGAGGGCAGAGGACAAGAAGCAATGAATGGAAACTAATCAAGGAGAGAAGCAACTTAGAACTGAGGAGAAACTTCCTGACGGTGAGAACAATCAATCAGTGGAACAGAAGTTGCCTCCAGAAGTTGTGAATGCTCCAACACTGGAAGTTTTTAAGAAGAGATTGGACATCAATTTGTCTGAAAGGATGTAGGGTTTCCTGCCTAGGCAAAGGGTTGGACTAGAAGACCTCCAAGGTCCCTTCCAACTCTGCTATTGTATTGTAAAAGAAAGAGTGCAGAGAAGAGCAACAAAGAGGATTAGGGGACTGGAGACTAAAACA